TCATGAGATGTAAATTCTGGAGACAGAACAATAAAAGCTTTTACCACCTAAAGGAGAGAGCTAGAGTAAGGCAACACTCAGCAATCACTAACTTGATGAATAACGTTCAACAGAATGACTAAGATGAATAATGCAATTTTCTACAATCATATTTCTTTCAAGAGAGTGGAAATGTAAGTTTCTGAGCCAGATGCTGGACAACTTTCTGTTTCTTATTGCTTGTTGAGCTTCACAAATGGTTCTTAAAACTACTCACAGTGAGCACAGTGGCTTTCCCAGCAGACAGGAATTCGTCACTGGTGTCTGGGTAGCCACGTCATGTCCTCGCAGTGTTCAAGAAGAGAAGTGACTTAGGTAGGCCACATTTGCTTAATGGTCTTCCTAAGAACAATAGCTATGGGACATTGCTTCAAGGTAGAGGATCTCATTGGGATTCAGAGAAGCCATTGCCAGAGTTTCAAACAGGCTTAGGTACCCCTAATTTTTCTGAAATCAAAGGAAGTTAGATGCCTCTTTGTCTCCTCAAATGTATCTGAAAACACTGGTCTGCATCTTTACAACGTTAATACAAGCCAAGATTTCCCTCACAGACATAGCTATTTCTCAATCCACACATACATTAGATGTTTCAGGTAGCTTCTAGTATCAGTGTCCTTACCTCTCTCCTCTGATGGGGTCTGGGCTGCTGACAGCAGCTGTTTCAGCTCCTGCTGGACGCTCTGTCAGGGTACTGCCTCTCTACTTCAAGCAGCCCAACATGACACCTAGAGAGGAAATAAGAATTTGGTATTAAGAAGTAGAGCTGGGCAAATAATTCCGCAATCTTTGGTTCAGTGGTAAGCCAAACACTGTGCTTCTGCCATCACTTATGATGCCTTCAGAGCTGTGTGAAAAACTCAGGTTTTCATATGCTAGGCAGACATGTTTGGAGGGGGGCATCTCAAAAGTCACCAGTAAACTGAAAATATTACCCAAAATGTGTTTGATTCGTTACCACTTATCTAGCATAAAGACAGAAAGGCCTTGCTGGTTTGATCTGGATAACAAGGTTCCCCCTTCTCCTGTAGGCTGAATGTTACCACTTTCATTTATCACGTAAAATGAAATTAAGTTCACTCATGCATAGTTAGGTGATATGCTGCTAAACAGAGATCAGTCCTGCCATGACCTTATCTTATTTCAGATTGAAGTGACAAGAGTGCTTTACACTCATCAAAGCACCTGAACATCGTAAGGCAGAACTGCTTTTCCTAATGCACCAGGCTTAACTTCCATCCACTCATGAGCTGCACGTACAACACCATGTAAAACAAAACTGAGTTTATGTGGTTTGTTACTCTCTACAAATGGTTAATTTTGCAGCTCAATGATCCACAATTCTAGAAGAAATAAAAGATGTTCATTTGAAACCATGTTTTCTCATTGCAATTTTAAAGTCCACTACTCATTTATCTAATGGTGTAAATCAGCACAGCTGAGAGAAATCCATACAACAGCATTGACCCACATCAGTGAAAGACCCTAATCAGTGGGAAAAATCCTGTTTTCATTCAAAGTGTTGTTCCAGGTTAAATCAGCTGGGCTTGAAGGGCTTCTGATTTACATTTGCTTTACGGTAATTTGGCTCCATTTATTTCTCAAAAACGTTCTCTGATTTATATTGGTGTGAGCAAAGCAGCAGAGCAGTGTTCTTGGCCAGGCTGTCATTAGTGTCTGCATTCTACTGATATGTCTTGTAGGGGGAGAAGCAAGTCCACAAACTTGGATTTATGGGACTTTGAGTTTCTCCTCATCTGAACCACTGAAGTGGCACCACGGAACAGTCTAGTGTGAGTTAAAAATTTCATCCAGGGAACTTCTACCCTAGACATTTGTAATGCTATTTCCACACAATATACACTGCATGTGAGTGACTACAAACACACTCATTTGGTCTGGCCATAACATTCATAGATATCTAATGCTGTCTCGTTTTTCTACTCTGCCATCATGACAGGGTGGTTTGACTCCCCTCCACTCATGCCGTATGGCAGGTTCTTGTACTTGTAACTTCATATATGCTGGGAAAAACCCCAAGAAATAAATGCATTAGAATCACTGAAGGCAAGAATATTCCAACTTTTTGTTTTGTGGGGAAGGAGTTGAAGTTGTAGATCACTTATAAAATGCTCCTGCTCAATGGACTGGCTAAAATAACACACGCAAAGTCACAAAAATCACCATCCAGCAAATCTGCAAGACCAAGTTCCAAACACATTCTGGAAATAAATTAAAGATTTCTAGACATAAAACTAAATATTAACTTCCTTAATAATGCAAGCAAAGCAATTTTATGTGCCAAAATACATACAGTAGTATATATGTATACATGCAACATTAAGCATATACTATGAATTTCTACAACTTAATAGTTTCTCATGACATGTGAAAGCGTCATATATGAAAAGATTATTTCCCACACACTGAATATAATCTCAATTCTCATTTCATTTACCTCAGAGGGGTTTTAAAGCAAAAGATGGAGTCTTACTTTCATACTTATTTCAAAATAGTCTTTAGTATAAATACACGTTGCTTATACTGCGCATAATAACAGTTTAAAAACATGTCAAATATTGCCAGCCTTGCATTGAGAATTCCAATGCTGGCTAGTGGTTGGAAGACTAGAGACATGCCTCCAAAAGAAAGGAATACCTACACGTGGTTCTCATCCTACCCCCCAAAACGTGGATTTTAAATCCTTCTGCAAAAAACCTGCTAGTCTCCTGTCTGTAGCAATGTACTTTCAGGACTTGTGCTGCCACTATCCCAAACCAGAAAAAAATTATATGACCACTAAAGGGAAAACACTGAAGAGGAAACATATTCCCTGTCCCCAGCTGAAACTGAAGATTTCTCTTTACTTCATAAAACTTCAAAAGCAATAAACACATCCTCTAAAAGAACTCTAATCAGTTATTTTACTTGTTTGCTGTCCTTAGAACAGCCGTGTTGCCCATTCTAAACATACATAAAACACCAAAAGAAAGGGCTGATTATCTTCTGAAGCATGAGGCTGAAGACCAGAGAGTCTCAAGAACATAACAGCTTCCTCCTTATGATCCATTTTTGATTCCTTGTTGTTCTGATACAAGGGAGAACATTAGGCAAAACGTGCAGAGGTACCAGCAGCATTAACACCTGGGTGAGGTTGTTTTGCAGAACATTGCACTTCTGTAATCCCTATAGAGACCATATGTACCAAAGTCACCCTGTCTCTTCCACAGGCTTTGGATGAGAGGGTTGGACATTACTGGAGTTTAACTGCCCACACAGCTAACTGCAGAGACAAGGGTAGTTTCCAGGGGCTCTGAATTACATTTTATGCACTTGTTTATCATTCCACCTTTTGTGGACTTTTTATTGTTTTGTCCACTTGTGGTTGTTTTTAAACACTTCTTTGTTTGAAACCATGCAGAAAGATCTAGAAGATGTAGAGTCCCTGGAAGGCCCAGGAGTATATAGCTTTTAAAGGAAACTGAGCTGGGTACAGAAAAGAGCTTGAGGCAGCAACATACCCAAACAAATGCATTCAAGAAACTAAAGATTAGTTTTATAATCATGTAATCTAATGCTCCTAGGAACGTTAGGAATGAAATAGTGAAAAGTGTTCTGAAATCTCTGTGAAATACTAAGGAGCATTACAAAAAAATGAAGCTACTGTCAAAAAAGAATGAAGTAAACATTGTATTTATTGACCATTGCTTTCATTTCAGCAGTTGCTAGCACAGAAATTGTTTCACTGACATAAGCAAAGTGTTTATTCTCAAGAAATAACATATTTTACTTTCTCAAAATTAGAATTCTCCATATCTCACTTTACAGCTGCAGTAGACACAGAACTCCAGGCAGTGAGACACAGCTGTAAAAGACCTTCTCTCCTGCCTAACGATGCTACTGTTCTCCAGCAATTCCTTCTTATTTAATGAACAAAGAGGACTCCAAGGATGGAGATTTTTTTTCAAATAATGAAAATTCATGCCAGAAAATGAAATTTTCTTTGAGTACACAAAATTAAAAAAACCTGAGGATGAACAGCTAAGAACTGATATAGCCTTAAAGTCTGTCTCACTATTTCATGTGCAACTGTAAGAAGTAAGAGTGTGTACACTATCGTACATGCTTCTTCGTAAAGCTAAGAGCTAAATGTTAAACAGAGATGTGATCATCTAAACCAGGTCAAGGTAGTTTTTTCACTGGTTTCACCTCTTAAGTGGCTGCAGAAATAGACTGGTGCTGTAGCAAGTGTCTACTATGGCAAAGAACCACGGTCTGTTCTACAAATTGGGTCACCTGCCCAACAGCAAACTTCATTTTAAAGACCACCAAAACTGGCACAGGAGTTTTGTCTATGTGTGTGAAGTTCAGAACAGAGGGCAAGCAACAAAGCTACTTCTGTATGAGAGAGTATTTGTGGATAAATCATGGCAGGAAGCTAGCACTGCTTGTCATCAACATATGTATTAAACAAGAAAGGTTTATGAAGGTCATATGGTGATATCAATAAAAAGGAGCCTTTCCATCTTCAGTAAATGATAGGAGGGCTGCATTCAGTTTAAACATCCTGCATTTAAGGGCAGAGCATCTGAATCACTCAAATCCACACTGCCTTTTCTGTAGCTTGGAGCTAGACAATTGATATCAGCAGTATCTCTTCACTGATCTTGGATACTATCTAAAAGAGATGGGTCACCAGACAAATTCTGGTGAACCCATGGACATTCAGGACTAGAATGGAGTTGTATGGTTTGTTCCCTCTCTCAGCAGTGCTTCAGGAACTGAAACTGTGGTACTGACATGAGCAGCTTTGCAAGAAGGCACAAACAACACATCTTGGTGTTTTCTACAGTTTTCGATGCTCAGGTATTTAACAAAAATAGATCAGAAGGAGGGCAGTTATATCAGAGAAATTTAGATAGTGTTAATGGAATGAAATAAGTTCTGTTAAATTCCAAACAATGCTACATTCGTCCCCACTCTTTGTTTCTTAATTCATTCCTCTTGATCTTCCCAGTGACTGTCTTTGGCAGCTCTCGGACAAATTCCACCTATATAAAAAAAGACAAAAACCAATATAGCATGTTCTACAGAGTTGTTTTTCCAAGAGTGGCTCTCAGCACATGTAGAAAACTAAGGGGACTCCCATCAGTAAGAACTGCTTGCCTAAAGGATCAAGTCCAAGCCAAATCAAGACATTGTTTCCAAGCCACTTGTGAAACAATTTCTTTGGCTGCCTAGATGGCCAAATAGCTTGTGCAACTATCTCCCAACTAACCAAACTGAGTACAGTAACACAAGTATTGAAATGGCATCAAGAAGCCAGAGATGAATGACAAAAAGAAGAAAAAAGGGATGTTACTGGCACAAAGTCTTTAATGGCCCTTAGTTCCTATGAGTTCTGCACAAGTTCTGCACTGCTAGTAGCTCTTTTCCTGTAGTGCTGGGATTATTGAGAAACACCAAGTGTATCCTCCTGGGCTTTCCTCTATTCACTAACTGTGAGGACCAGTAGACAAAAACTTACTCAGATTCAATCAGGTACTACACTAAAGTCACCAGAGAATGCTCAGTTGAAGATTAAATACAAAATGGAGAATTATGTTTGTAAGCCTGACTTACAACAGGCAGATCTAATTAGAGTATCATACAAAGCCCGGAAATTTTCGAGGGGTTTAAACAAACACTTTACTCAAATGCATGAAAAACAATATAAACTGATGTTATTTAGGGAAGATTTCCTGGAGACAGTGCTCCAGCTGAATCTTCACCACTATTTCTTTCAGGTGAATAATGAAAACCCAAATAGTAATTCCCCTGAGATTTATGGAAGTGTGCCCTGGTTTGAAGTTTCTCCTCTGAAGCATTTACCTTTCTAGGATACTTATATGGAGCAGTAATTTTCTTGACATGCTCCTGCAAGTCATAGGCTAAGCTCTCCAGGTCACTGGATGAAAAGGTTGGGGACAGGACCACAAATGCTTTCACAACCTGTAAGGTAAGATCAAAAAAAGTGATCTGACAACATTCATTTTTAAAAGCTGATATATAGGTTACCAGTGAGCCGTGCTGCTCAGAGTCAAGACAAGCAAAAGGGAGGAAAAGAGAAGCCAGCACAATACAAAAAAGGGTTGCAGCCAGTTTCTGCACATGTGTGTGCAGAAGGGAAAGTTGAAAGCACAGTTTTCCTGCCCTCGTTACAAACCAAGAACATTTGCCCTATCCTTTCAGCCTTGGTCAAGAAGAAGGAGTAATAAGAGGTGTCTGTGCAGAGTTTTCCCTAAAGCTGAGGGACATTTTATTTCTCTCTGAAGTTCACACAGAGGACAGTAGGTCACTATTATCCCAGCACAGGACTGTGCTTTCTCCATACACGTAGCCCAAGTCTAATGCTAGGGCAGTTATAGTATAGCTTTGGTTCACTATTATCCAAGCACAGGACTGTGCTTTCTCCATACATGTAGCCCAAGTCTAATGCTAGGGCATTTATAGTATAGCTTTGGCTACACCAAGACAGCCAGAAAAGACAATTTCAGTCTACAGACAAGTGCTTAACAGCAAGGGGAAAGCAAACATCAGTGTCATGTTCTCCACAGAGAAGATCTTCTTGGGATTAAAAGAAACTAAGAGCAAAAGCATGTAAATGGGAAGGGATTTTGCCTGTCACCCCAAGCAGGATTATCCACGATGACATGAGTACCTTAGAGCTGTACATTATTCAGTAAAATAGGAACTGTTTTATAAAGTTATATATTTAAGCAAACATAATGCTTCCCCCACCACTGTTCAGCATCATTACCTCTCCTCTGAGGGGATCTGGACTGCTGACAACAGCTGTTTCTGCTACTGCTGGGTGCTCTATCAAGGCATTCTCTACTTCAAATGGCCCAATGCGATATCTAGGCAAGGAAAGAAAAACGTAGGATTTGGTTTTATGAACTGGAAAAGCAGTACCTAATGCTTTTTATTTGTCGTATTGAAGAAAAAAACCCACAAAACCAACAACCACCTATAGAAACTTCAGGTAGAATGGGAAAGTTGTCTGTGTTAGAAGGTGGTCATGTGGTAGAGGACTGCTGGGGCTGTGGATACCTCTTCATCTCTCCCCCTTCCTCGTGGCTCCTAAGCTGGAGCTCCATTCCACCCTGATAGCTGAGGTCTGCAGTACCAGCTGATGCCATGTTATGGTATCACATTATAGAATACCAAATTTTTAAATTTCAACATATTAAAAATAAAATGTTTCAATGAGATGTCCTTCAATTTCAGTCAAAAACCAAACTAGATTAAAATCCCTCCTCTGCCAATGGAAGTCTTCACTCTTTCTTGAAATACATGAGATTTTACAGGGGAAACAGACACAGGGATGTCACTGACATCACCAAGATGATACTGAAGGTCTATGAAAAGCTGATAATAAAAGCAAATATTCCTAAGTCAAGAGGTCAATACAATCATCACAGGACTATCATGTCAGAAGCTCACCAGGAACATACCATGTAAGATTATACAATGGCAGATTTAGAAAGGAAGCATGCAAACTGACCCTGAGGAAATGATAATGTCATCGTCTCTTCCAATAAACTGAAAATATCCATCTTCATCCATAGTCCCTCTGTCTCCAGTGACATAAAAATCCCAACGTTCACTTTCTTCAGTTTTCTTAGGGTTATCCTCAAAGTGTTTTACAAACACTAGTTTAGATTTTGAGCATGCATTAGCTATATATTATGCTATAACACACACTGTTAAATGCACCAGAACTTAATTTTTCAGTCAGGGATGGTCAAGAACTGTACTGACATTGCTACACAATACAATAAAATAGGTTTAAAAAACAAAATCATTTTGAGTCTTTAAAAAAAATTAACTCAAACTTAAGCAAATTCTTCTCTTCCCTTTTCTAACATCCACCAATCCAAACAAAAAAATGAGTCTGGTAATAAATAATAAACTGGTGAAAAATATTCAGCAATCTGAACCACTATGGAATTGGAGAGATTTTGGAGAGATTTGTGGTGGTGAGGAATAATATAAAATCCTTACTACATATTCAGAGAATAAACCAAGTGGTCTTATAGGTTTGCTTCTGACAGCAATTTCCCCCTGTTGTCCTGGAGGCAGAATATTAGCATGTTTGTCTATGATCTAGAATGAAAAACATCATGTATTTTAGTCCAATAGGGAAAAAAAAAAACCAAACACACAACCAACCAACCAACAAACCCCTATGAAAGAATCTAAAGAGCAGCCAACAAACCTGAACATCATAAAGGGGAGCTGCCTTCCCCATTGATCCAGGTTTAACCTTCATTCCTTTAAAAACAGAGCAGATTATTCCCTGTAAAAATCAAAATAAAAACAAAGTTTTGCAATAGAAAACTGCTACATGCATATTCAATTCATTAATTGTATTTTCTATAATAATTCCAAAGTAAGGAATTAAGATTCATACGATCCTATATGTCAGTGCTCTATGGTACAGATAAGCAAAATCGAGAAACTCCCTGAAAGAATCCTGGTCCATTATCAGTGAAGAAAGAATTCACATCCTCTGCTAACCAGTCTTCCTCCTTAGATTCAAACTCTGTCCTCTTGCCTCTCACTGTCACTTGGAATTTGCTTAAGAACACTTATGGAAATATTAGAGCACATCTCCTCCCAACAATCCATGTTTCTGACAGGTTCTGTGAGGAGTAGTGTTCTTTCAGAGGTCAGCAGTGGAGGAGATTACTGAAGCATTCACAGGAACGTGAAGGAAGAAACAGGCTGTGTTCTTTGAAAACAAACATTAAAACACTGTAAACCAAAAAGGAATTACAAAGATTTAAAGCAATGTTGACCCTACAGAGGTACCGTTTCAGTCTGGCCATATACTTCATGGATGTCTAGCCCAGTCTTGCTTTTCCACTGTTCCATGACTTCTGGGTTGAGTGGCTCCCCTCCACTCATGCAGTGCTTCAGGTTCATGAATTTGTAGCTTCGCAGGACATTAAAAAAACAAGAGAGGCAGTACTTAAATCTATTGGGCAAGACAAGGAGCATGCAACTATAACCAAATAATACTGGAGAGCCTTTTACTGGGACAATTAGTGCCATGAAGTGGTGAAATCAGAGGATTCCTGATCCTTCAGCTCCTGATACAGCAAGGGTATCAGTCTGTGTTGAACATTATGTGTACGAGGAGTAGTAGTAGTCAAACACACGTGAAAAATAAAGTACAATTTTTGCTGAAGTCAGTGGGGATTTAAGGACATGCCTATAACTAACCCAAGAGTGATTTGCTAAGCCAGGGCCCTCATTGCTGACCGTCTGCAACAGCCCAAGTGAGAAAGTGCAAGAGTGGAGGAAGGAACGGTGGCAGGCAGCAAGAACTGGACTAGGGAATGCGGTACAACTGTCACAACAAGTCACTCCTTCACAATTGTGTTGACACCGACTTTCTAGGATGACAGTCTTTTCCAAAGCACGGACAATTAACATGGTAATTGAAAATGATTATAAAGAATTTAACAGGCGCTGAGTTTCATACCCTATGGGATTTGTTCACAAGTTCAATATTGAAAGTCTCAAATTTCTCAGGGAAAACATCAAGTTTCTCTATGTTTGATCACAAACTCAGCAAAACTCACAAATTTTGTGTGACCATCTTTTCATGAAGGATATTTTAAACTAAATTACTACCCTATTTTGAGTCAAGCAGCTAGATCTGGGGGATCACTAAAGTCTAGTTAGGGTAAATTAAACATTAGTAAGTAATTTCTTGACGTACTTGGAGAGATCATTTTGCACCAGCATGCGGAACAATGTTGGAGCACCAACCAGCGCGTCAATGGGGAATCTGCAGAGAGCCTAGTGAGTTAAACAAGATGGATATATGAAGCTCAGACAAAAAGCTGCCTTGTGGATGTAAAGAGGTGATACAGGGGGCAAATGTAGCTCTTGTTTCTATGTAAAAGCACCATATGCTCTCCGTTGGGTAAGAAACCCTCCTACAGTTGGTGTAATATGTGGAGATTCAGTTATTTGATCGGACAAATTCCCATGCCAACATGTCTGCACGACACCCAGACCGCACAGCTTGGAGCACAGCCAGAATAAGCCTGTCTGTCTTATAGGGAGGTTTTCACTTTCATCTTGGCCAGTGCGGGCAGAGAAACACCTCAGTTTCAGTCTGCATTAATACCAGCTGCTATTACTTCCACAGTCACTAGAACAAAAGGAAAGTAATTAGTGCTGCTTTTGGATGATTTTCATTCACGTGCTCACCAGCTGTGAGCAAAATGTATGAAAGAACCACAGGTTTGGCCCCTTCTGTGTACATTAAAAATACAAATAGGAGCCTTATGCAACGGAAACTGCATCTCGAACACAACTATGGACACAACTCTCAGGAAATCTACAAATGCTGTAAAGAACTATTTTTTTGCACCCTCTCTACAGATGAATGTATTGCCCTGACTTTTTCCTTACATTCAGGATGGCTGCTGATTCAATCTGTGGTAGGTTATGTATAAAGACGCATGATCCAAAAACCCAGGGATCAAAAACAGATGCCAGTGAAGCTAGTATCCATCCTGTGTCTGCTGTGCTCCATATCATGTCTGAGGGAGTCAAATCCAACCAGTACCTGACAGAGCAGAAAAAAACAAACTAAAAGATAACAAATTTTTTTTTGCTTAAACACACCCCCTCCAAACCACAAACAAAGAAAAACCCAACAAACCCAATATTTATGACAAGATACAGGGGCACTGGGCACTCTGAACAAGTTTATTTTATGAGCTAGCTCTAGGATCAAAGGGCACCTAACTATATGTTTGCATAAATACATATATAGACACACACATACATGTATCATATATATATATGG